TTTTTTGATCTGTGGCTTTAGTCGTGGAATATAATATTCTTGTCGGACCATTTGTTGCATGAGGCGATGTTCGGCATGTAGCATTAATAACTGGAGAAATCTGAGGTATAATGTTGCAAATGAGGATTTCTCTGGTATTATTATGGGGTGGCGTTCGTTATATGTGAGGCTGGAGTTCGCTAGCCGTCCATTAGCACGAAGCAGACCTTTCGTGTCTAAAAATGGATTGAGTACTAAGAGTTGACTCTTTTTATTAATTGGTTTTGATTCTCTTAGCAGTAATATTTCGCGGCTGATATAGTGCGTTTGAGTGTATGCAACAAGGGAAACCTTTGCTTTTTGTAGGTCTTGATGCGTTAACATGTTATCTGGGGAATTCGGTGTTTTCTTCACCTTGAGGCGCTCTACGAATTTGAACATATAGGCGACTACCTTTAGGGCACGGGGGAACGAGGAAAATCGTTCTAGTATGTCATTGTCATCCAGTATTGTGTGAAAGGTTTCAACTTTTCGACTTTCTGGGGCAATTATGTTGCGTATGGGGGATTGTGGCCAGAATTGTTGTGATTCTATTAGCCAACTGGGGCCGTTCCACCAGAGTGAGGTGGTGGCGAGGTGCAAGGGTCTGCAACCTCTTGTGCCAAGATCGGCGGGGTTATCAAGTTAAATCAGGTTAAATCAAGTATTTGGGCTGTGCGGTTGGAAACATATGTTTTCCATGAGTGGGGTGGTTTTTCTAACCAAGCTAAGACGATCTCTGAGTCTGACCATAGATATAATTTTTGACTGGTCATGTTTAAATGCGTTTGCACAGTTGAGGCTAATTTTGCGAGTAGAAGCGCGCCACACAGTTCAAGTCGTGGTAGACTTAGTGTTTTGAGAGGTGCCACTTTGGCTTTTGCTACTAACAAATGGCTTGAAATTGTGCTGTTAATTTGGGTGCGCACATATATAGTTGCGCAATATGTCTTTTCAGAGGCGTCGCAGAAGCCATGCAGTTCTACTTGGTATTCGGGGGAGTAATTTACCCATCTAGGGATTTGTATCTCTGCAATAGCGTGCAAGTTGTTAGCAAATTGGGACCATTTTACCAAGCGAAGTGGTTTCACTTGCTCGTCCCATTCGGTTCCGTCTAGCCATAATTCTTGTATCAGGATTTTCGCTTGTATCATAACTGGCGAAAGCCATCCTGCGGGGTCAAAAAGTTTGGCTACAGCCGACAGAATTTGCCTTTTAGTTATTGCGGATTGAGCAAATATCGACTCAAGAGCATATGAGAATTTATCTGAGACCGCATTCCATTGTATGCCTAGGGTTTTTGTTGTACTTTCCTTTTCGAATATTAGGAAGTTTGAATCTAATAAACTTTCTTTATTTATATCTTTTAGGATTTCGGGGTGATTGGCGGTTATCTTTTTTAGGGGGAACACTGCTGACCTGAGGGCTTGTATTACTTGTGATAGTGCTTCGTACGCTTGGGGTAAGCTGTGGCTTCCAGACAGGATATCATCCACATATGTTTGTGTTTTTAACACCGGGGTTGCTAGGGGTAATTTTTCTTTTATATCGTTTGCCAATTCGTGAAGTGTTCGAATGGCAAGAAAGGGGGCACAATTTACGCCAAATGTCACCGTTTTGAGTTTATAGTCACATATTGGACTATTAGGTGAACTTCGAAATATAATGCGCTGAAAGTCTTGATCGTCTTTATGTACGAGTATTTGTCGATACATTTTTTCGACGTCTCCGTTAAATACGTATTTGAACATACGCCACTTTAAAATCAGAAGCATTCAATCGGGTTGTAATGTGGGTCCTGTGTACAAAATGTCATTTAAGGAATTGCCCGAACTTGTACATTTCGAGGCGTTGAAGACTACTCTTACCTTGGTTGTTTTTTTGTCTGGTTTTACAACCGCATTATGGGGTAGGTAAAATGAAGTGTATTTACCTTTGGTTATGTTCTCATATGGATTTACTTTTTCCATATGATCTAAATCGAGATATTCTTCCAGGACACCATCGTATGCTGATTTAAGCTCGCCTTTTTTAAG